CCTTTGCCAGGAATAAGCTGTAAAACCCTGAATGTGGATTGGAACCACATAAGCTTTATGTGAACTTCTGCATTAAGCTGTTAGTACAGAGTGTTAGAATTTTTCCTGTCAACTGTATAGCAGTTTTCGAAAAGTGGCTTGTGTCGGCAATGCAGTTTAACTGTTATCAAAACGGTGATTCCCTTACTCTGCCTGCGCTAAGCACAAAAGTGATCAATATGGTAAACCAATATATTTTGCTGGTTTGCTGCGCTGATTGACAAAGTGTACACTGACCCTACTGTCCCAACAGAATATCTGCTTTAAAAACAAAAGAGCAGTTAATATCTAATTAGTGTTTGTAAAACCTTTAGACCAGACACTGGTAAAAATCTGATAAAGATGAGGAAAATATACGCAAGTGTTGTCCCTCCCTTTACTAGGAAGAACAATTGGCTCCTTGGTGGCCTCACCTTCCCAAAAACATTTGTAAAAACCAGAGAAGTGCCAAAATTACAATATACTGTTTGAGGGACAGAATTGCTGACAACCAGTATAGGCTTCAGGAATTACAAACCTCCTGGGTCACTGCCAACCTTGCAAAGAACAAATGCATGGAAAATAGGTGAGTTATGCCTCTGGCCCAAAGACTTGTGGATATTTTTAAGAGCATGACTAAATATCAACAGGCGTTTTATCCTCTGTAAATTACAGCATATTTTCTAACACAGCAACTGTACATACATCGTACCCCTTCTTGGCAGAACTTGATAACCCCTTTCACCAGGAATTCCCAACCCAGCAGGACTTCACCCTGTCCCCTTTCCCCTCTAAGTACTTTCTATCTCCTACAGCGGCGCTTTACACCTCCAGCATCTTCCAAATACAATTGCTTGGAGCTGTTGAGCTTGAGTAGTATCATCCAGACAGGATTACCCTGCATGCAACAACTCTAAGCAGGTGGTTGGAAATGACAATGCACAAGTACATCCATACAGTCTCTCAGATACAGAACTGTGGCACGAGAACTTGACTGCAGACATGTATTCCAGTACGTCCACAATCTTTTGTCTTTTGCTACAGCTGTTATTTTTAGAGTCTGATTTTCAACATCTTTGTTATAACCTAAACCTGCATGCCTCCTGCCTGGTGTGGAATATCTCCTCATGGAGTGATTGTGATTGCAAAGACAAGCATAAGATGAACAAGCCTGAAAGCTGAGAATTACACCATTAACTGCAGACTTGCTTAAGCAATGGATAGTGCACACACGCATGACATGTCTGATATTAAAAAAGGAAAGGCTCTATAAATATTGGCATGCCTTTCACCAGTGTCAATATTATGAGTGCAATGTTGGTTTCCCATAGAGCAACTCTGTAAAACAAGGACTTGAAAACATGTCTGTCTGCCTTCAGCATCCACAAAGTTTCTATGGTGTCTAAGCAGAGATGTGTGAATGATGTTGGACAAGGGAATTCAGTTGTAATTAATAAAATAGAGCTGTAGTGGAAATGACACTTATTTAAGAGAACTATATGAAACTAAAAGGAGAAACAGTGATAGTTGTCAGTGAAACATGACCTGGAAAGACAAAACTTAGTAAGAGGAAATAACAGAAAGCTTGAAGTAGAAGAGATTATACAAGATAAGAGGAAGTAAGAGAAGGAAATGGAATAAGCAACTAAAATGAGGGAGTGGAAGGTGCTCTGAAAAGGAGGGAGAGGGAGGAAAGAGGGAGCTTGCCAAATTCTGCTACTTTGTTTTGCAGGATTGCATTATGCAAAATTTAACCCTCAGGGGTGTCAAACTCAATTTCATCGCGGGCTGCATGCATCAGCATTATGGTTGCCCTCAAAGGGCCAGTTGTACCTGTAAGACCATATAAATGTATCTACTCTTTATCATATTAAATAATTGCCTCTGCATACGATTACTACTGGTTTTAGTAATATCTAAATAACTAGCTCTGAAATAGAAGCCTAGGAAAAACAATGGCAATTAGTGTAATAGTGCAGACTCTCAGGTGGCTGTGCAGGTTCTATGGTAGGCTGTGCGGACTCTCAGATGGGCTATGCGGGATTTATGATGGGCTGTGCAGACTCTCATGTGGGCTATTCAGGGTTTATGGTGGGCTGTGCAGACTCTCAGGTGGCTGTGTGGGGTCTATGCTGGGCTGTGCAGTCTCACCAGGGGTCTCGGAGGGTGCGGGCGGCACCGATCCACAGGAAGGAGGAGGTTTGCTGCTCGCACTGTAAACAGGTGCCGCGGTGCACAGAAAGGCTCTTACAGCAGTAAATGTTATCACTGGATAGTAAATCAGAACAGTGGTGTAGCCGGTAGGACTTCTGCCTTGCAGCACTGGGGGTCCCTGGTTCAAATCCAAGCCAGGTCACTATCTGCAAGGAGTTTTTATGTTCTCTTGGTGCTTGTGTGGGTTTTTTTCCCACACTCCAAAGACATGCTGGTAGTTTGATTAGTTCCTGTGTAAAATGGCCCTTGCCTGTGAGATAGGGACCTTAGATTGTAAGCTCCTTGAGGGCAGGGACTGATGTGAATGTGCATTGTGTAAAGCACCGTGTAAAAAATAGTTGGAGCTATATAAATACCAATAATAAATAAACAAATATCACCTGTTCTTTCAACTACTTTCATTATTGGAAGGCAGAAAATGGATGACATAAGGAAATAATAAAATGGTGGGGTAAATGTAGCAGAACTAGAAAATGGCTGGGGAAAGAGTAGTAGATGTCAGATTCTGTGTTCAAGTTCCACTATTTCAATTAATCATACAGGTATTTATAGTACATATAGAGAGTACTGCTGGTGGTAGCCAGTCATCCTTATCGGGACTTGTTTAGTAATGCTGAAGACATTTTGCCACTTATTCAAGTGCCTTTATCTGTTTAAATGCATTTACTGTACATCCACATGGGCAACTCGGTTGCCTTAATTTAATCACCATGGTGTCATAGACTGTGTTAACCCCTTCATGACTGAGGCTTTTTTTTTCTTTATTTTTTGCACCCATGTTATATTCCACATTTTAGACCTGAAAATTACTTAAATCCCCCAAACATTATATATTTTCTGAAAGCCAAGACCCTATAGAATAAAATGGTGGCAGTTGCAAATTTTTATGTTGCATGATATTAGCGCAACTCCTTATCAAACCCCAAAATTTAGTGAAAAATGTACTTAAATGCCCCAAAACACAATTAAATACCCATTTGTAAAATAAAATATAAAAGATGAGGTTACAACGAGTAAATAGATACCCAACATGCCTAGATTACAAATTGTGTGCGTGAAACAGCGACAAAATTCAGTACCCAAAAAAGTCCATAGACGACGCTTTAAAAACCCCCACAGGTCATCAGTATAGAGATACCCAAAAATACTGGACTGAGAATTATTGCTCTCACTCCGGCGTGCGCGGTGATACCCATAATGTGTAGTGCGTTTTCATACTTAGGCGCGCACCCGACGCATGTTTACGTGAAGATGCTCATGCTCGCGGGGGCCTTTGAAAATGTTTTAAAATTATTTTTAGATTTATTTTATTTAATGTTCATTTTAAAAACTTATTCTTTATTTTCTTTTACTTTAATTGCTATCACATAGGGGGGCTTACACAGATGGTGGTGACAGGTACTCTTTAAGGCGATGCTGGGGGTCCAAAAGACTAGTTGGTTGGATCCACTAGCTATCTCCTCTGTACTAGGAGGAGGGCACAGCAAGCAGCGAGAGGGGAACAATAGCCAGCCTGCTATTGGCTATTGCAATTTAAAATGGTCAATAGCAGGCTGGCTATTGCATCAGCCCACCTGCTGTATTTACATTCAGCTGCCGTCTGCGGAATCTTGCCACTGGCATCTGTCATTCCCTGGCTGAAGCTAATCACGGGCCATGTGTTTACAATACAATTTTATTTATTTAATTATTTTTTATCCGACTAATCGAAAAAATAATCGGCCAGCTAATCGATTATGAAAATAATCATTAGTTGCAGCCCTAGTGTCATTAAGTGCTCCAGGTACTAGTCTCTCCTTTGAGACTTTTACTTTTGCTATGGATGGCTTTGTTTCACATATTGAACGTGCGTTATTACAAAAATCTGCTTAAGAAATGTCCACTGCCTTCTCCTTCCACCGGTCTGATATGTAGGAGGATGCCTCAGTCGCATTGGACCTATCTAATCCAGTAGATTCCGCGCCGGATGTGTCTGGTGGTGAGGATGAGACGGCGGTTTCCTTTATGCTCCAGGAACGGGAATTGATATCTACACTCATTTGTTCTGTCAGAGAAACTTTAAAGATTGAGGATGCTCCCAGTTCCTCCTGGGTCCCTCCAGTTCAGTTTAGGACTTTTCAGTACATATCTTATTTTAATGACTTTATCTACAAGGAGTGGCAGCATCCCACCAAGTCCTTTTCAGTACCAAAGCGTTTTGCGGTTTTGTATCCTTTTGAGGATTCCATTTTTAAATAGTGGTCATCTCCACTGGTGATAGACCCACAGGTTTCTTGTCTCAATAAGGCTACGGTTATCCTTTATGGAGGGATTTCCATCCTTCTGGAATCCCATGGTGGAGACGACTTCAAGGACTTCATGTATTTCGTCGCTAGAGCCTTGCTATGGCGGTCTTAGCCTCAGCCCTGGTTTCCCAAACTTTGACAGTGTGGACATAGCTGTTGCATCAAGGTTTGAAGTATGTCTGCAATGCTGCTCTGGATGACGAACCCTTGGTTTCCAAAATGTCTCTGCTGTAATTCTCCACAGATTAATGTTGCTTAAGTTCTGGTCAGCTGATCAGACCTCTAAAAAAGCTTTCATCGAAATTCCCTTCAGGGGGGACCATTTAGCTGGCGCTCCGCTGCATGAGATAATTAAGAATCTTACCGGAGGCAAGAGCACTTTTCTACCACAGGTCAGAAAGCCCAAAGAGCAACGTGGGAAAGTCCTGCTCTTCTTTTTCTGCCCATGAATGCCTTGTCAACCCTCAACTTTCTCGGACATAGGAAACAAGTCCACCAAGCCTTCTTCCTCTATGAATCCCAAACATCAGTCCTCCAAACCCACCCAGAAGCCCTCCTCTGCATGAAGTTTGCCCCACTTCTGCTTCTCTCTGCTGTCTCGCATTTTGGACACTTTGGTGTGCGAACTGGTTTCTTCCGGTTACAAGATAGAGATCTTGGTTTTTTTCAAATCTGTGTCTTTCTCCTCAGTGACTGGCAGATCTGCATCTCATGGTCGCAGATCTTTTATTGCAGGAGGTGATTGCTTTAATTCCAACCTCTTTACTGTCCCTAAAAGGATGGGGTTCTTCCCATACTGGATCTCAAGAAACTGAACACCTTTGTGCAGGGTTGCAAGTTCAAGATGGAAACTGCACTAGATGGTCGTGACAACACACGCCAGTCTTGTTGGGTGAGAAGGTGTTCTGGGGTGCAGATCGACCTGGGGGTCATTGGAGGAATCACGTCTTCTGAAAAATGTGTTGGAACTTTGAGTGATCCGGTTGTTGGACCAGTGGTCTCCAGGATCTACTGGTCAGGGTCAAATCAGACAATGCCACGGCCATGGCCTACATCATTCATCAAGAAGGAACAAGAAGCATGGCTGCGGTGAGAGAAGGGCACGTTCCAGCTCTGTCCGCAGTGTACATGCCAGGGGTCAATTACTCGCAGGCAGATTATCTCAGTCGGCAGTCTTTAGATCCGGAGAGGTGTTTCATCAGATTTGTCTTCATTGGGGGACACAGGACATGGAACTCTTGGCGTCTCATCTTAACAGGAAGGTGGATTGGTTCATAGCCACAATCAGGGATTCGTGGGCGGAAGTGACGGAAGCTCTGGTGTCTCTGTGAGACCATTACGCTCTGATTTATGCCTTCCCGCCAGTACAGCTTCTGCCGCATCTTCTTTGCAGGATAGAAGCCAAGGGGATTCCAGTCATTCTAGTCGCTCCAGACGTGGCCACAGAGGTCTTGGTACGCGGACCTGATTCAGCTGGTAGTTGATGATCCCTAGCATCTACCACTCAGACCGGATCTTCTATGTCACGGTCCCATCTTCCATCAGTCGCTGGCTTTAACGTCCTGGCTATTGACAGCCAGGTGTTAAGGGACAGAGGGTTGTCCTTGGAAGGGTCAGGCTGCCCCTTCCGCTGCTATTTCTAGATGTATTCAGAATACCATTGTCCAGGTTTATGCTCACAAGGGTCAGGAACCTCCTTTTCATATCAATGCTCATTCAACTAGTGCAGTTGGTGTGTTCTGGGCTTTGCATCATAGTGCTTCAGTTCTATAAAGTTGACATAATGGCATCTGCGGATGCAAGTTTTGGATGTAAGGTTTTGCAGGTGGCGCTTTGATCCTGCATGTTTTGTTTTTAGGGGTATTGGTTATTGTTGTTCTGCCCCTCATTCTTCACCACTGTTTGACGTCCCCAGTGGTTTCAGATCTACGATCTTTGCTGTGTCCTTCAATAAATGGCAGGGAAAATAGGATTTTTCTAATCACCGAAAAAACCTTTTGTTTTGCGTTTATTGAAGGACACAGCACCTGCCCTCTATGTGTGTGAGAGTGTCTTCCCCTTAGGACCGGTTTACACCTGGTCGTTTTGTAGCGCGTTCCTACGCTCTGCAAAACGCTCAAACACCGAAATCCCATTATTTCCTATGGTTATGGTTCACACATGGGCGTATTACAGGACGTATGAACATGCTACATCCTACACCCAAAGAAGTACAGGAGCTTCTTTGGGGCGTTTTTGTCGCGCGTTTCCATTGTGATATAGACAAGTAGCCCTCGGAAACGCGCGTTTCTTTTACTGTGAATGGCGCGACACGAAACGCGCATATTCGATACGCCTAGGTGTGAATCCAGCCTCACTGCTTATTACTAACTGAGATTTGGTTGGCAGGTGGGGGGTTGGATACCAGCATAGGCTGTCCCTAGGCTGTTTTTTGTTTTATTTTGTGCGTAGCATACTACTCCTGCAGGTGGTGCTATAACCCAGTGGTTCCAGAGCTATAATCTTTGCTGTGTCATTCAATGAACGCAAACAAAAGGATTTCATGGTGTACAAAAATAATATTTTGTTCAATTGAGGTTGCTCTTTCACCTCTTGCAAATCAGTTGTCTTCTCTGTGCAAAAGTTGCAAAATCAACTTTTGCCGAAGGAGCCAGGTGGAAATTCGTCAGCTGAACAGGGGACTGCAGCTAATTAGCTGCAGTCACTGTTTTTGTATACTTTTAAATGGTAGGTGTGAGGAGCTGGACATAAAGTTTCGACCAAATCAGCAAAATTGCTATTAAGGCCTATTAAAAATGGGGGCCCTTCTGCTGAAAAGGGGGGGGGGGGTTATCCGAATCAATAAATAAAATGGGAGAACCAAATTAGGGGATTTGGAAAGAAGTAAGTAATGTCTGATAACAACCAGCATACAAATATAGTCAATGCATTTCGTGGGGGTCAAAAAAATCCCCCTTCAAGCCTAGTAAAAAGTGGGGCCCTTCGGCTGAAAAGGGGGGGGGGGTTATCCGAATCAATAAATCAAATGGGAGAACCAAATTAGGTGATTTGGAAAGAAGTAAGTAATGTCTGATAACAACCAGCATACAAATATAGTCAATGCATTTCGTGGGGGTCAAAAAAATCCCCCTTCATTAGGGCTACAAAAAAGTTTTTTTTAAAACAATGTATATTAGGGCAGGTAAAAACACCCACATCTTATTTAACTACTTCAGGACTGCCCACCGTCAAAAAATGTCCTGTCCTGAAGTAGTTATACCGTGTTCTTGGTATCGTTTGTACAGGGTGGTGGAAGGCGGTATAAAGGAGGAGGGGAATAGAGAGGTGCAGGATCCAGAGGTGGGTAGCTGGGTTACTGTTAGAAGGCAAGGTAGAGGGAAGAGTGTAAGAGAGGCTAGTCCTGAATTGATACACCCCAATAAATATGCCCAGTTGCATGATGTTGGGGATAATAGTTCAGGGGTAGCATTGCTGGAGTAGGATGCTTCCCCTGTTCGCCAGGGGAATGACTGCACCAGTAAGTATGGGAGCAGGAAGGATGGGAAGGAGAAACAGATATTGGTGGTGGGGGTCTCTATTATCAGAAGGTCAGACAGGGCAATCAGTCACTGGGATTGTGTGTGTCGAACAGTCTGCTGCTTACCAGGGGTTCGTGTTTGGCACATCGCCGAAGGTGGAGTGCCCTAAAAACCAATTTCAAAGAATTAGGTGCTAGGTTGAAGAAAAGGACCTCCACGGTAGTATTTTCTGAGATACTGCCACACCAGAGGAAGTTAAGAGAACTGAACAAGTGGCTGTAGAACTTGTGTAGGAAAGGGGGTTGGGTTAATGGAGAACTAGGCTGACTTCTCAGTCAGTTACCATCTCTACAGCAGAGATGGGCTGCATCTTAATGGGGAAGGTGCAGCACTTTTGGGGGAGAAAATGGTTAAAAGACTGGAGGACCTTTCAAACAAGAATATGGGGGCAGGGATTAAAAATTGGTATAATAAATGGAGAGCAAGGCACTATAGGGCAAATAATATAGAGGGCTGCAATAAAAGGGGGGACAGAGGGCTCACTCCGGTCAATCTACTTAGTAATGAATCAACCTTACCATGGTCAGATACAGAATTTAGTTGCACTTCAGCAATGAGTAATAATAGAACTCAAACCACTAACACCAAACTAAAATGAATGCTAGAAGCCTAGCAAACAAATTGGAAGAGCTCAAATTTATTCTACGCGAACAGGACTTCAATATAGAGGGAATAACAGAAACTTGGCTAAACAGCTCACATGACTGGGCAACTGATGTATAAGGGTACAACCTGTTTAGGAGGGACAGGGTTGGTAGAGTGGGGCAAGGGTATGCACATATGTGAAAAGCAATCTATCTGTGCACATACGAGATGACCTCACGATGGTGTTGAGCCTTTGTGGCTAGAATTAGGTAAGACTGAAGCAAGTTGTAAACTAATTGTGGGTGTGTGTTATAAACCCCCAAACATAAGGGAAGAGGAGGAGGCTCACCTACATTCCCAAATAGAAATACTGTAGCAGGGAAATGTTGTTGTAATGGGGGACTTTAATTATCCGAACATTGATTGGGCAAATGGAACCACTCATTCAACAAAGGCTGGCCGTTTCCTAAACCTGTTGCGGGACAATTTCATTGCTCAGATGGTAGGTGCCCCAACCAGGAAGAATGCAATTATAGATCTTGTAATTTTAAAATAATGCAGACCAAGTTGCGGACATAGCGATTAGGCATAAATTGGGTAACAGTGACCACAGGGAAGGCAAACTTCCATAAGCTGCATCATCTAGTGAATGCCACTAAATAGGACAAATTATTTCTAACAATGAACACTGATGAGAGGTGGGATTGTTTAAAAAATACATTGCACAATGCCATTAGCAAGTGCATACTATTGGGCAACAAAAATAAAAAAAACAAGAGTGAAACCTTCATGGCTAGATAAAACGGTAAAACAACATATCAACAAGAGGAAGATGGCATTTCAAAAATATAAGATGGAGGGGACTGCATTGGCATTTCAGAGCTACAAGGAATGCAATAAGAGATTTAGAAGTACAATCCAGGCAGCTAAAATAGATTACGAAAAACATATTACAGATCCAAAAACAAAAAATCAGGAGCGCAACTACCAAAAGTGGTGTGAGTGTATTTGGTTTTAGCGAAGGGCCCAGTGGATCTATGTAATAAGGAGCGTTAATACATCTTTAAGTGTGGAGTCTTGGTGTCTATGGCAATGTAACAGCAAACAAAAAGGACTTACAGTTAGGAGCTCCCCCGTTGTTTGTGCGACCCTCTCCTTGGACAGATCCTGGCTCGAAGAGATGTCCCCGGTGGTGTGAGTGGCTGGTCCAGTCTGGGTGTGCATCCGTATGGCCGCCCACGTTCTCGGCTGGCCGAGCCGCGTCGGTCAGGAACGGCGAAAAAGGGGGAGGAGCTACAGAATGTCATTCTAAGAATGTCGGGTGTCTCCAGTGGCTACGCGTTGCACCTTGAGGCTTGATAAAGAGGCAACCCCTCGAAACGCGTAGCCACTGGAGACACCCG